GATTTACTAAACAAGAACTGATTGTGTAAGAATAATAATCTTGTTTTCAGAATGTGTCAGATTATTTGTCTTGTTAGTCTGAAAATTAGACTCAAATTAAGTGAAAAATTTCAGCCAATGGAGTAAGAAAATTTTACTTGGTAAAATTCTTGAAGTACTAAAAAAAATTGGGTCAAATCAAGTATTTCAAGAATCTTACCAAGTAAAACTTTCTTACTCCATTGGCAGATATTTTTTTTACTTAATTTGAGTCAAATTTTCAGGCTAACAAGACAAATAATCTTACACATTCTGAAAACAAGATTATTATTCTTACACAATCAGTTCTTGTTTAGTAAATCAAGTCTCAAAACAAGATCAAAAAGACTTTCTGGCTGGATATAAGATTTTAAAACTTGGTTAGGTGGACATTTTTTGCATTGTATAAAATGATTTGTCATWTATTTTAGCTAGCCTTTAGCTACTTAAGCTTTTATCTAGCCTTTGCTCATTTTAGTTAGCCTTTTGCTACTTTTAGCAAGTTTTTGCTGCTTCTAGTTAACCTTTCGCTGTTTTTCTTTTTGCTTTTTTCTTTTGCACTGTTTAGTTTTTAGCTTCCGTTTTACTACTTTTAATTATTTTGCTACTTTCAGCTAGCATTTTGAAACATTTTGCAGCTTTTAACTAGTTTTTTGCTCTGTTTAACTTTTTGCTATTTTGCCATTTTTAGTTTTTAGCTAATGTTTTGCTTCTTTTAACTAGCATTTTGCAATATTTAGATTTCAACAAACCTTTTTTTAGCTTTTAGCTTGTATTTTGCTTTGTTTAGCTTTTAGTTGCAATTTTGCTACTTTTAGTTTTTAGTGTTTTGCTACTTTTAACTAGCATTGTGCAATATTTAGCTTTCAGCTGTTTACGTCTTTTTGACTTTAAGCTAATGTTCTGCTTCTTTTTGCATTTAACAACTTCATTTTAGCTTCTTGAGCAAATTTCAGCGGTCATTCAGCACTCACCTTCACACTGAGTTATACACGTCAAAACTACTTTAATTGTATTGTTGTGAATTTATTTAAATGMATTAAATGTTACCAGCCTTGTTCCAAATTTGGTGCAGAAAATGAAAACTAMCTGACCTAATCTGGGCTTCTGCAGCTGAAATGTTTAGCAGTAGATCATTAGAGCAGGTCRGTGAGTCACAATCCTAATATAATCCAAAAACCCCTCCTACATTTGTTTGATATGTAAACAGATTTAAATGCTGTGAAGTCATTCACCTGCAGGAGCCTGAGAAACTGCCCSTGTCATGAGGTGTTTTATTGAAATCCAAAACAAGCAGTAGGAGCCAGCAAATGTCAGACATTTAATTCTGCCTGTTATTACTTTACAGGATTGGATTTGAAGCCAACCTATCTGCCATCCCTCCTGGACCTCAGGGCAGTTGTCTAAGTGGGATCAAATTATGTGTCTTATTTGATCCTGATTTATCTTGGCCTTTCAGTCTCCTCTCTAACGCACGCTTGCTAACACTCCTTTTTGCTCTCTCTGTGCCTGAGCGAGATGTCGGTGCATCTCCGCAGCAGAAGCGTAGAGGAATCCTTTCAGCCTGTGTTAATATTTAAATTCTGAACAGGATAAAGAAGCACGCCTAGAGGCGGGGGTGGGGGTGGGGGATCCTCTCTTCTTGTCCTCATTTATCTCACGCTACCGTTTGTTGTCACAGACATTTCTTATTAAAATGAGACATTAAAGTAGCGCCAAAGTGCTTCAAAGCACAAAGCTTCAGACTGAACCTGTGTGCTCCCAAAACTCAAAACCCTGACAACAAACAGGATTGTCTGAGTGCAGCTGCATGTTGTACCAGTAGAGGGAACTGTGCAAACAGGAGACGTGTAGTCCATTARTGATTAAAGAGTTGTAAGTTGAGGTAACTGTTTTAACCTGAGAAAAATCACATAATTAAGGACTAGTAGTTTAAATAGAGCAGATATGTAGTTAAAATGTCTTCTAACATGATTTTAAGACAAATGATTAGATAGACTACTGTTTTACCAGTTATACTCACATCAGTATACTTTATTTACAAAACATGTTTAAAATCATTTTTGTTTCAGTTTTTGGCCTCAAAATAACCTCTTCTGTATGAAGTGATGAATTAACAGAAAATGAGACAAAATCCAAGTTGGATCCACTCTAGCAAATTACATCATCCTTGATCTCAGAGTTAGAGGTCTCCCAAAACCAGTTTTTCTCTGACCATGTACAAAAAATTCAGATTGTGTACTCGCCAACATCTAGTACAGATGTGGAGTACTTTCTGAGTTAAAACCTAAATATTACACGATGACTTTAAAACACATTTCTTTTATTTAGAACAAGGTGGTCCTCAGTCCTTATAGGCCTACAGCTCCTCTGATTGGATCAGATCAAATATACTGTTGAAATGTTTTATATTAAATAAAAATAACAAATAAGATTTTCTTTTGGTTTGTATAAATTTCTTAAACGGARCCGACAAAGTTTTTACTTGAAATGAGAACTGTAACACATGAACTATGGATGCTGGTGTTAGTAACGGTTTAGAGTATTGGAGTGTTTTCTACGAGTACTTGTAAAAATGCTGGTATCCTGCCCTCCCATACCAGTATGAGGACAGTACTATGGTAGAACGATTCAGCTTTGCTGTAGAGTTACAGTTGTTGATGAAATGATGCAGACGTAATTCCTGAACATTTTTCGTGTGATGTAAGCTTTTTTGTTGATGCTCATCCTTCTAGGTCACGGCCGGGACTGCAGGCTGCAGACAGACTCCCTGGTGGATTTGTACCGAGCTCTGGAGCAGACCAGTCTTTCAACCTCTGCTGACCACAGATCAGCCGGCCGCCTAGAGTACAAGCGCTCCTTTGTCCGCAGAGTTAATGACCCGCTTCTAAACGACAAGCTTCACCGCCTGCGGGTCCTTCAGAGCTCACTGAAGGTACGCCTTCATTTTTTAAGCATTCGTGTTTTATACCATACATGTTGTGTTTTTCTGATTTATAATTACCCATTTATTTTCCTACAGAATGTTCCTCTTCAAGGCACAAATCGGTCGTTGGGGTTTTTAGGGTAGTCTGTTGAAGATCACCTCCAAAGCATCCTTTCTGCTTGTGCCTCACATTGTCAACATTCCCTCCTGTTGGAGACAAAAAGGCACCAAAAAGCATYGTTTACTTGCTTAATTTTCCATTTCCTTTCCTTTTTATGCTCCTAATCAACGGCAGGAAAACTGATGTCCCTTTGTTTCTAAMCCCTCTCTTAAAGGGGTAGTTCAGATCTTTTGAATTGGGGTTCATTCAAAGGTTATGCACAATTACCTGTTTTTTTTTAATCAACCTCATTTTATAGAAATAGTTCTGATTGKATTTAAGAGCTACAGCTAGCTACTGTTGCTGTCACTCTTTGTGTTTGCTGACAACTATGGATTTCTATGTAAATAACAGGATARTAAAGCTGACAACGGAGTAAAGGTTTATAAAGTAGCCTTCATGTGAATCAATATAAAATGTGTGAGATTGAAGTTGTAAGGCAACAATCATCAACATCGCTCTTGGCCTCGTTCAGACTAGCCATTTGCTCATCAACCTGGTCAGAATTKAACTCTATTTCTCCAAATAGTRTTGATCTTGAGAATTGTGKGGGAATCGCCAAAGTCCCGGATGTCAGACAAGCAACGCAGCAGACAGCATGCTTGATAGCTGATTCCAGCACATTTATCCACGTAAACAAAAACAATGATATTCTCTGGGCCTAAAAGACTGATTGTATTGACCAATATGTCAATACAATCAGATAAGCAGCATTGCCAGCCATTTATTTTATTTTACTTTGTTAGCCGGTGTTAGCCGTTAGTGATCTGTTCATTTACTTTGTTTTTCACAAACTTTCTATAAAAATTGACAAGTTCTACATTCTCTTATAACCACAATCAATTTGTTTTGCTTAAAGAAACAGAAATACATTTTTTTCCCAATGTTTTGCTTTAGATACAAACCTGTTTTTACACTGCAGGTAGAGAATGCCAGGATGTTGATGGTGGTTTTGGTATCTTTAATAATTTTAAAATATAATCCTGCCACTTAGCCTCATATTTTTTTTGCTTCTGCCTGTCGTATTAGAGTATTTTCAGCATGCATGCAGCTGAAAATTTGAGAAAAAAAAACTTTAGTCAAATCCTAATTTTAGTTTCTTTTTCTCAGTTGTAAAAACACTTCACAGTTACCAGTTTTCTGCTGTTTTTTTATTTTATTTTTTTTGTCTGCACAAACCAGACTTTTAGATAGGATTATGGAAGAAGATATTAACATTTTAAGACACCCCCTCCAGACTTACGAAGTTTACAAAATTTGCGTAGGTTAAATAAAATAGTTACAAATTTTATTTTAGGGTGCAGAGATTGTGACAACAGCAGCTACTGAAGCTGTAACATTGCTACCCATCTCTATCTTAGCACAATTCATTATTTGTCTTCCTCTGGCTTCATAAAACAATTGTGCCCATGCCGTTTACAAAGTTCACAAAATTGTTGTAGGGGGAAAAACAGCTTACAAACAGAAATATTACTTTGTTAAATTWTGGTGAACCTGAAGATTGACACAGTGGCCTGAGGCATTGCCAGGTTAGCTGAAAGCTGGCATCAGAAAACCAAACTGGGTGTCCTTGCAGCACTCCAATGCCCCTCTAGCTAAATGTGTGGCACAAACCACGACTTCAGTGCTGTTTTGTTTTGTACTTGAAGTTCTGTTTGACTGACATCAGGGTACTTGCTAGAGTCACTTATTGAGAGCTGTTTTTAGTAACCCTGACCAGCGCTATTGAATTCATTCAAGCAGTCATCTACAGCAGGTAAGATAGGAACCTTTCATAACCCCACTTCAAAGATTTGAACTTTTGTTTTAAGAGTGTGATTAAAAACAAAATCTTAATAAACAAAGTTTCACAGAATCATTTTGGGGGTAAAAGCACTTTGTGTTAATGTCAGATTTAAAAATCACAGCCATCCATTCTGTTAATGTTTTCTACAGTATGCTGGAGTTGTTTATCTGCTCATATTAAGCATTTTTGGTTGAACACATTTTGTTCTGCACGTATGTTTGCTTTATGGGTGTGTGTGTTCTGAGAGTGCACAGGCTGTTCAACATATATACATACAGTTTGTTGTATAATATTTAATATTCATTCCTGCAGCAGTGATTACATGATGTTTTTGGTACCTATATAAACTGTACATCCAGTGCTGTGCCTCAGTGATAGTGAATGTACATCGTACCTTTTTTCAGACCGGCGAGAGCAGAATTAGGGAAGCAAGGTATTCCTCAAAGCAGGGAAGCAACAATATAATGCTTGGCAATAATGAATTAATGCTGTAAATAACAAAGGAATGATAAGAATAGTTGTCTATTTTTGTATGCATGCTGTCTCCCTGATTGTTTGCAGAAACCGTTTTGTATTTCAAAGTGCATTTGTTTCAGAGAATACTGGTGTTTTATCTCTCCCACCCCCGTTCACCCACAAAAACATGCGCACACGACCAGCACGGTGTATTTTCAGTATTAACACTGRCCCAGAAAATGTGACTTCCCTTTTTTTTAAGTGTTCACCATAAAAGAGAAATAACCATATTTATTAAGTGTTTAACAGAGAAGCATGCTTTGTGAGACTAAATAAAACATTACCATGTCATTTGAAATTGACTCATGTTGCACACCTGCACCATAGTGTAGCTGAATAAAGTTTTTTTTAAATAAAGTATGGTATGGGCATAAACAAGACTCGCTGGTTTCTCATATTAAATATTTTTGTCTCTTGTCTTTGAAGCTTTTTTACAGTCAGGATGTTTTACACCAGCTGGCTGGAGATAACAGGAATCAACCAGTTTGTGGTTGCAGGCATTCAGAAAATGGTTTTCACAAACAGGATCCATGGAAAGCATCTCCGTTTAAAAAAAACAACAAACTAGCATAAATCACTATTTAAAACAAAGGTGTAACACAGCAGGAAACAGTTTTGTTAGTTTCAGACGCAAAGTATAATGTCTTCATGGAAGGAAAGCATATTACCATTTTTATCTTCATAGTTTTAGACTAAGTTTATATGRTTAAAGGAAGAGATGTAATCCTTTTTGACAAACCATGTTGTGAATGACTCTCAGCTACTGCCACATAAAATCTTAGCTTATCTGTAAAACTAGAAGTTATAGTCATTTTTGTACTGGTTAATTTTAATTAGCTGTGGTGGTTTTTAATTTTGGGCTCCAAAGGTTAGCCTGTAATCACAATGGGCCTCATGCAAGAACCGTTCGTACGCACAGATTTGTTCTTAAGTTGTGTGTACGAGTGATTTAGGAGAATTTCTTTTCTTTTTTTTTTTGTATGGATGGCCTCCCTTCTCCCCTTATAGCCATCCCCTCCACACCATTATGTTTTTTATGTTTTTATTTTTATTTTTTATGTTTTTAATGTTTTCGTATTCTTTGATGGCCTCCCTTCTCCCCTTATAGCC